TGCTGACCCCTCCGGTGGTCCCGTCGTTGCCCGCAGTTCCACCTCCCTTCCCTGTCCGGCGGTTCCTTCGGGCACTCTCACAGGTCTGCATATCCCCTCGTTCTCCAGGAACCTAGTTGGTGTCGGCTGCCTCCAGGACCTTGGCGTCACCACTACGTTCCCTGGTCACGAGCGGTATGCTGTCTGTACCGAGGCCGCCTCTGGTGCCCCCCTTACCACTTTCCCCCGGGACCCGGTGTCCGGCCTGTTCACACTTGACACCGCGCCGTCCCCGGCTGGGTCTTCCCCCCCGGTAGCTGCGTCCACCCAGGTTGCAGCCGCGTGCTCCTGTCGGTCCCTCACTCACCCGACTCTCCTTTGGCACCACCGCCTTGGTCACCCTGCACTCCCACGTCTGCGTCACATGTCCCAGCACGGTCTCGTCCTTGGTCTCCCCGGTTCGTTCCCCGAGTTTCCCTCCTCCCCCGCCCCACCGTGCACGCCTTGTGTCGAGGGCCGGCTCCGCCGTGCCCCTCACTCCTCCTCTTTTCCCCCTACCACCGCACCACTGCAGACTCTGCACATGGACGTCTGGGGCCCAGCCCCGGTCCATGGGCCGCGTCGCGAGCGCTTCTTCCTAGTGCTTGTCGACGACTTCACGCGCTACACCACCGTCTTCCCCCTGGAGCGGAAGGCCGACGTGCCTGACGTTCTCATCCCCTGGCTTGTCTCTGCTCGTGTCCACCGCGGTCTCCCTGCCTTGCGCCTTCACTCCGACCGGGGTGGCGAGTTTGCCTCAGGTGTCCTTGGTCGCTTCTGTCGTGCGGAGGGCATCACCCAGACGTTTACCCTGCCGGACTCCCCGCAGCAGAATGGGGTCGCTGAGCGACGCATCGGTTTGGTCATGGAGGTGGCTCGCACCTCCATGATCCACGCCGGTGCACCCCATTTTCTGTGGCCGTTCGCCGTGCGCTACGCCGCTCACCAGCTTAACCTGTGGCCGCACCCCCAGCGGCCGCAGGTTTCGCCGACCCTTCTGTGGACCGGGTCCCCTGGTGACGCGTCTGCGTTCCGCGTCTGGGGCTGCCTTGCTCATGTTCGTGCCTCTGGCGCGGACAAGCTCACTGCTTGCACCCTCCCCTGCGTCTTCCTCGGTTTCCCCCTTGACGCGTCCGACTGGCACTTCTACCACCCGCCGTCTCACCGCTTCTTTCACTCTCGCGACGTCACCTTTGACGAGTCCGTCTCCTTCTACCGCCGCTTTCCCCACCGTGGTCCCCCGGTTACTCCCCCCCTTTTCCTGGTTCCTCCCTCCCTGGTGGTCCCTGCCCCTCCCCCCCCCCCGCCCCCCCGTCCGGCCCCCTCTGGTGTGTCTCACGTCACCCCCCTCCCGTCGGTCGTCCCGGTCGACGAGTCTTCTGACTCTGGTAGTCCTCCGGCGCAGTCCTCGCCGCCTGTCCCTCCCCCGGTGTCTCCTCCTCCACCGCCTCCGCAGCCGCCGTCGCCGCAGCTGCTGCAGCCGTCGTCTCCACCGCCGCCGCCGTTGCAGCCGTCGTCTCCGCCGCCGCCGCCGTCGCAGCCGTCGCTGCAGCCGCCGCCGCTGTCGTCGCTGCCGCCGTTTGTGGACTCTGGGGGTGTCCCTTCTGGGGGTGCAGGTGTGGAGGGTTCGGGAGGTAGCCGTCGCGCAACTTGTGGCCCTGGTGTTGGTGTTGTGTCGCCGCAGCAGCAGTCCCCGCCTGTGTCCGCCCTCCGTCTGCTCGGCCTTCCGTCTCCTGACCCTGCGCCTGTTCCTCTCCTGCCGTCTCCCCCTCTTCCCGTCTACGGCCCCGTGTTCCCTCTGCCAGACTCGTCCCCGGCTCGTCTTCCCCCTCGTTCCCCTCCTGTGTCCCCTCCTCTGTCTCCTGACCCGACGCCGCCCTCACACGTCTGGTCTCGCCGCCCCTCTCGTGCTCGTCCTGTCTCCCCTGTCCCGCGCTCTCACCCTATGTTGCTCCGTTCCCACGCGTCTCGACCTCCCCTCCTCCCGTCTCCTCCTCCGTCTTCTCTTGTCGTTGCGTCTCCTCCTCTGTCCGACTCCTTTCGTGCCGCTCGTCCTCTTGTTCCTCGGGTCCTTGCCTCTCTCGTTACCGACCCGTCTGTTCCCGTGTCGAGTCTTGACGCCCTCGTCGCTGCGGTCGCTGACTTCGCCTCTACCCGCCGCCTTGACTACGCCACCGCTCTGGTCTCTCACCCTGCCTGTCCTCCGTCTGTCGGGGGTGCTCCTGCCCTCGGCAGTGACGTCCTGGAGGACCGCCAGTTTGAGCTTGCTTTCCTGTCCGAGGCTGCTCCCCATCTCTGTTCCATGCTGCTAGTCCCTGAGGGTGACCCAGACGCTTTCGACATCCCGACCCCTCGTACTTACGCTGAGGCGGTTTCGGGACCCTGGGCCTCTCAGTGGATAGCTGCCATGGAGCAGGAGATGGCATCTTGGAGATCCACCGGCACCTTCGTCGACGCAGTTCCCCCACCTGGGGTGAACGTGGTCGATGGCCGTTGGCTCTTCAAGGTGAAGCGCCCTCCTGGAGAGCTGCCTGTGTTCAAGGCGCGCTACGTGGCTAGAGGCTTCAGTCAGCGCGAGGGGGTGGACTTCTTTCAGACTTTCGCTCCTACCCCGAAGATGACTACTCTTCGGGTGCTGCTACACGTAGCGGCTCAGCGTGACTACGAGCTTCACTCCCTCGACTTCTCCACTGCCTTTCTTCAGGGCAGCCTTCACGAGCAGGTCTACCTGCGTCGCCCTCAGGGCTTTACTGGCACCTTCCCCCCTGGGACCCAGTGGCTTCTGCGGCGGCCAGTCTACGGCCTGCGCCAGGCGCCTCGTGAGTGGCACGACACTTTGCGTGCTACCCTTGCTGACCTGCAGTTCTTTCCGTCCTCTGCAGACCCCTCGCTCTTCGTTCGTGCTGGCTCGACTCCGTTCTACATCCTCGTCTACGTAGACGACCTGGTCTTTGCCACTGCTGACAGGGACGCACTGGCCTCCGTGAAGGCAGAGCTGCTGAAGAGACACACCTGCACTGACCTTGGAGAGCTGCGCCGTTACCTTGGCTTGCAGATCTCCAGGGACAGAGCCGCGCGCACCATCACCCTGACTCAGTCACACTTGGTGTGCCAGGTCCTTCAGAGGTTCGGCCTTCAGTTCTCCTCCGCACAGCCCACCCCTCTTCCTCTGGACCACAGACTCTCCGCTCCAGTTCCTGAGGAGTCGGTAGATCCCAGTGGTCCTTACGCTGAGCTAGTGGGTTGCCTCATGTACCTGATGACTTGCACTCGCCCAGATCTCGCATACCCTCTCAGCATCCTGGCTCGTTTCGTGGCCACAGGCAGGCACCGACCTCAGCACTGGTCTGCCGCTAAGAGGGTTTTGCGTTATCTTGCAAGTACATCGGGCATGGGGTTAGTGCTAGGCGGACGCAGGCCAGTGGTCCTTACTGGACACACAGACGCTTCTTGGGCAGACGACGCCGAGACGCTCAGGTCTTCCCAGGGCTACTGCTTTAGCCTTGGTTCAGGTGCTGTCTCGTGGAGAGCTACCCGCTCTTCGTCTGTTGCCCAGTCCAGCTGTGAGGCCGAGATCTACGCCGGTGCCATGGCGGCACAGGAGCTCCGCTGGCTGACCTTCTTGCTCACTGACTTAGGTGAGCGGCCTAGCTCTGCCCCGGTCCTGTACGCTGACAACAGGGCCATGATCCTCCTGTGTCAGGAGCCTCGACTCGAGGGCAGAGCGAAGCACATCCAGCTGCGGTACTTCCTCCTGCGTGAGCTACAGCAGCGTCGCCAGGCTCGCGTAGTACACTTAGCCTCCGGTGCCAACACAGCTGATATCTTTACAAAGGCGCTTGCGCCTAAAGATCATCAGCGGCACTGTGTACAGCTTGGTCTGGTTCCTGTAGTCTCTCACTTACTCGGGCCTTGACTCTGTACTGTCCTATATATCTGTGTGTACACTCAGACTGGACTTGTGTCCTCTTACAGTGGTTGGACTAGTAGTGCCGCCCTGTACTAGTTCTTGCCTTGCCTGTACTCCTTCTGACTGGTCTTTTAGACCCTTGTCTCAGAGGCTGGACTAGTAGTGCCACCCTGAGCTGCTTGTCTAGAACATTCCCCTATGCAGTCCAGGGGGTGTGTCAAACATGTTTAGTTATCATGCTTGTATAGACTGTATAGGGTCATCTTCTAGAGAGTACAACAGTTAGGTATATGTTTGTGTACTCTCTCTCTCTATTCATCAATTTCACTGTTTGATAATATATCATCAAGAGCAAAAGATATTTGCTCTTATGAGGATGGGATGACAACGGTACTCTACCGATATACAAGTTCTCATGGCCTATGGCTTTCCTTAAAGTCATAAAACTTGCGTTACAACCAATCCATCACCAGCACCAACTCCACAGAAGTAGATAGGCGTAAAATGGAGCGCTGACGCCACTCCGGACAGTGGACTCCGCGTATCTCCAACAACACCCGTGTTTGCCAAAATGGAGCAGACTTCAACAGTGATGCTGAGTAGCTGAGACAACTTCGATATCAACGCCACTTCAAGGACAGTGACAGTATGAGACAACGCATGATGGCACTAGAAGACCTATCCCAATATGTATAGGATCGCAAACGCCTCCGGCAGACGTTGGAGAGACTTAGTTGATGTAGAATGTTTCAGCAATTTCTAGGGGAGATTTTGCACTGAAAAATGAGTTGTGTTTGAACAAGAAACAAACAAGCATTTATAAGCAGGCAGAAAGCTTGCGCGGTTCGCGTAACGCGGCTGGTGTACTGTGCAACCACGGAATTCTGCCAACCGCGGAATTCTGGCAATCACGGAAACGGATTTCGGTAACCGACACCAAGTCCGAAACCGACCCCGAGTTCGGTTCTCCGGAATTCAGCTGAACGCGCTCCGGGTCTGTGTTGGAGAATTTTCGTACAGCTTGTTTCTCCCGCTGGTCTTGGCTGGAGTTTCTTGCAAGGCAACAGAAAGTAGATCTACCGTTTCCCCGCACGCACGCATCACCTAGAGCAACCTCAAGCACCTTATTTTCTTAGGTTTTCTTCTACCGATTTCTTCAATTTCTTCCTTGCTGATTTTCCTAGCTCCACCGCTGTTCCGCCACTTCCGCCGTTGCAGTTAGGATTCCCGTTTTTCTTCCCGTCGTCATTCTTTCCCTTGACATCCGCCTTGCTATTTCAACACCACTTTCCTTGGAACGAGATGGGCGGTCCTCACACCGTCCTAGCATCGCTGCATCCTCATTAGGCATAGGAATAGGACAGTAGGGCAGTGGCGAACCACCCTAACAATATGTGCACCCAGACATCGATGCCTACCGATGGCCTCCGTGCTAAACTGGAAGTGCATCCCTCCAGATTCTTCTCCTCCTTATTCCGCTCCAGATTCATCCCAAGGAAGAGAGATGCTCTTGGGATCTTCTTCACTTGGAACACTGCTGCAAGGTGAGCGCACACCTCCTCCACTCTCTCCTCCTTTGCTCCCGCCACTAGGATGTCATCGACGTAGAGCAGTAGGAAGACCTTGTCTTCTCCTTCTCCCTTCCAGTAGAACGCTCGGTCGCATTGGCTCTTGACGAAGTCGCCCTTCATCAGCTGTGCATCCATGGTTTGGTACCATTCCCTAGGGCTTTGTTTCAGTCCATAGAGAGCTTTGATTAGTTTGCATTTTCTGTCCGTGCCGTCCTCAAAACCTGGCGGTTGCTCCATGTAGACATCTTCCTTCAAGACGCCATAAAGGTAGGCATTCTTGATATCGAGTTGAACCATAAAGTACCCACGTGCCGCTACCACTTTCAGCATCGTCCTTGCTGTGGTCAGCTTGCTCACAGGTGCGTAGGTATCTGTGTAGTCCTCTCCCTCCACTTGAGTATATCCCTTTGCAACAAGTCGGGCCTTGAAGCGTTCAAGCTGCCCCATATCTCCAGTTTTGATCTTGAAAATCCAGCGAACTCCCACAGAGTTTCTTCCAGCCGGCATGTGCACCATCTCCCACGTTCCTCTTTCCGTAAGTGTGTTCAGCTCTTCTTGTATTGCTGCCCACCACTGCTTCCGATAGGGACCGGTCAATGCTTCTTCAACTGTGACTGGCTCGGAGGGCAGGTTGTATGCCTTCCTCCTCTCCTTGGAGACAAGTGCAGTTGCCGACATGGTGAGTAGAAGGTGAGTATGAACATCCTTCCATGGTGTCATGAGGATTTGGGCATACCGGGGAGTGGGTTTCTTTACCCGTTTCCCTCTGCCCAATTCTTCTTTCCTCTTTTCAGCTCCACCCATTTGGGCTACAGCTCCATTGTTTAGCCCTTGCTCCACTGAGTCTTCATCAAGTTCCCGTCCGATGAGAATAGCGCCTTCCTCAAGTAGGCCTTCAATTTCTGCTGCTGCCTTGTCATTGCTTTTTGAATTGATCAGCTTCCACGGGTTGGTGTGGTCCGAGCTTGTAGCCTCGTCCACTTCTTCCTCTCCATCATGCCCATGCTGATTTTCTGCTTCATCTTGGTCAGCACTCTCTCCATGGATCCCACCAGTTCTTTCCTTTTCCTGGTTGCGCTCCCTTTCATCCTTTGGTTCCTTGGGTGGTGCTGGCTGCTCCGGGACCTCCCACACCCAATCCACCCCTACAGTTGGGTAGTCGTCGTAGTCTTCATCTTCAGTGTAATCATTTGCTGCCCCAATTCCTTCCTTGTCATTCACATCCATCATCTCCTCAACCGGAGATGGTGCTGCTGCCGTTGGTTCCTTTGTTGCTCTTTTGTTCTCAGCTGCAGCCCCCGTCTTCCTTCCCTTCCACTCCAAGTAGGTGTCAAACTCGTAGAAGGTGACATCTCTGGTTGCTGTCACCTTGCCTGTCTCCACATCCCTTATAATCCAACCTTTGCTCTCTGGGCAGATTCCCAAGTAGATTCCCCACTTGGTTCGAGGTAGGAGCTTGTGGTCGGGTCCCGCCGGCTCCCGGTACTGCACCATGCAGCCCCATACACGTAAGAACTCCAGGTTTGGCTTGCGCTTGTAGAACGCCTCGTGGGGTGTGATGTCGGCTATAAGTCCCTTAGTCGGTAGTCGATTTTTCAGCCAACATGCCATGCCGAGTGCGTCACCCCAATAGTGTAGAGGCAGTCCGCTATCCGCTAGCATGCTTCTTACACTTTCCAGTAGAGATCGGTTCACCCGCTCTGCTATGCTGTTGTGTTGAGGAGTGTGCGGCACCGTTAGTTGCCGCCGAATGCCCTTTGACTTTAAGTAGCTCTTGAACTCTTGATTGATGAACTCGCCACCATTGTCCGTCCTTAGTACTTTCAGTTTCCTTCCGCTTTGCCTTTCCGCTTCAGCCTTCCAGTCGAGGAAGCTCGCGAACACTTCAGATTTGTTCTTGATCTCCGTCACCCATGTGTGTCGTGTGCCAAGGTCGGTGAAAGTAACAAAATACTTGCTGCCATGTCGAGAAGCCACCCTCATAGGCCCACAAACGTCGGCAGCCACGATGTCAAGTATGTTGTATGGCTCCCGAACCTCATGCTTGGGGTGAGAAGTCTTGGTAGCTTTTCCTTCCACGCAGGAGGTGCAACTCAGCTCTTTTTCTGCATCCTCTGTCACCTTCACTCCCACTACCATGTTTTTCTTGATCAACTCCTTGATGCGCGTATGTCCAGCGTGCCCCAGCCTTCGGTGCAGCAGGTTGACGTCCACTGGTGTCACCGTTGCTGCCTTGGGAGGAGCTTGCTGCTGGAGTTCTTTGATGGGCGTCTTTTCCAGCATGGTACGAAGCTCGTCCCTTGCTGTCTTCCCTTCTTCCGGTTCAGCGAGGTATGTAGATCTTGCACCATCTTTATGCTTTTCATGTAGCTTCATCTCGTACAGCCCTTGCTTGCGTGCGCCTTCCGCTAGCACCTTCCAGTCAGGGCCGAACACCCATAGACGCCCCTTGTCGCTGTAGGTCTTGCATCCGCTGTTGTCTAGCTGTGATTGACTGAGTAGATTCAGAGTCAATCTGTCCACCAGCAACACGTTGTCCAACTTTAACTCTCCATATGCCCCTTGTAACACCATATCTCCTTCCCCTTTCACTGGAAGCTGCCCTTCATCTCCCAGCAGCACATATGGGACCATAGAAGCTCTGAAATCTTGCAGCCAACCTTCTTGATTGGTCATGTGTTGGGTACATCCACTGTCCATGTACCATTCCTGTCCTTTCAGCCCAGTTGCTAGCAGGCACGCTCCAGAAGCACGTGCAACATTGGCCTTGTGTGCACCTCCAAGAATCACATCTTCATCGCCGTTGTTTGCCTCTACAATGTTGGCTTTTGCAGGTGAATGAGGTTTGTGCTGCTGCTGTCCACCCCTGTAGTTCTTGCTTGAAGGGTTGGAGTAGCAGTAGATTGCCTACAGAAGCGGTACTACGACACGACTGCCATACCACCAACACTTGGTGATCTTCACACGTGGACCAGATGCGGGTAACAGCATGCACGGATCGGACAACATAGCCACTCATGTGCACGTTACAGCACACTGTTCCAACCATTCACATCTCCAACTGCAACTTGCACCTGCCCATATATCACTGACGGTGATACACACCATCCTTCCTTTACTGTGGACGGAGCCTGCTCATTCCGTAGCAACAGACAGTTCTTGCTACAGTCCAACCTGCTTACAATTCCATCGCCATGTTATCCGCATACCATCCGTAGACAGACGGCCAGACTGAGCGTCTTAACCAAATTGTGGAGCAACTACTCCGCGCAGCCTGCAAGGACGAAATCTTCAAGTGGGACTTGCATCTGCCCGTCCTAGAGTTGCCTACAACAATGCTACGCACGCCGCTACTCAACAGACGCCGTTCTTCCTCTGTTACGAACGCCACCCGATCACAGCACAACAGCCAACCATACCAGCCACAGTCCAACCCGCTCATGATTTCATCACGACCATGCACAAACTTTGGGATCGGACCCACAAGCGCCTTCTCGACATTTAGCAACAACCAAAGCGCCACGCCGATCGCCACGCACAGACCACATAATCACCGTGGGAGACCGAGTACTGCTCGACACGCGCAATCTTGATATCGGCCATCTCCCATCCAAACTGCGACCTCGCTTCTGCGGGCCTTTTCTCGTTGAAGCACAGCTCACTCCTGTCAACTTTTGCTTCCGCCAACCAGCCACTTGGAAGATCCATAACGCCTTTCATACCAGCTTCTTAAACCCTATCAAGACCAAACACGCTCTACACCAAATGCCAACCACCGTCATCGCCCGTATTCATCCACGCCATGGGACAACTACGTACTTGGACACCGTCATCGTCAGACTGGCACTCTGGAGCTTCTTCTTTGCTGGAAGGGTTATGATACTTCTGAGGCTTCGTCCCTGAACTCGACATGGGGAACGCCCGTCGTCCTCTTCGCGACTACCTTGTCAAGCAGGGTGTTACTTCTACCACCCAGCTTTGAGGGGGGAAAGTGTGAGAGTACGACCCCGTTACACTAATTTCCCCTTTCCATATTTCCTTTCTCTTTCATTCCTCTTTTTATCCTGATTCATTTGGTCTTTACCTCATCTCATTTGGTTTCCTATTCCTCCTTTTCCATCATCCTTTGGTTTATCCTGTTATTATAATTATATCACCGACCAGGCTCGGGATGTACTGGCGCGCTATATCTAGCGTAATCCTGCAGTAATCCCTTATAGCCAATAGCCTCGCGTGGCTATACGCAGGGTGATTCTATTTCTAGAAGGGTCTATTTCCTTTGGATAGGATAAACTTGGTTACCTGATTTACTATGGAAGTATAAAAGCACCTTGTACTGATTGATAGTGGAACATTGAGGAAACCTTTCTTCGACACATTCGATCCTGTGACAGGCATGCCCCTATATAGGCTATAGTAACATGTACAAATATGTTTGACACACCCCCTACAGTGGACAAGGAGCAGTGCCTGACAAGAGACAAGCAACACATGGCATCACTACTAGTCCAACCTTTGAGACAAGGGTCCGAAGACCAGTCAACAAGAGTACAGACTCGACAATAGCAAACCATGGTGGCACTACTAGTTCGGCCACTAAAACAAGAGGCACAAGGCCGGTCAAGAAGGTATATATAAAGAGGAGTACACAATAAAGGTCATAGAAAGTGAGGAGCTATAGAAACTAGACCAAGCTGCAAACAGTTCCGCTAATGATCTTTACGCGCAAGCGCCTTAGTAAAGATATCCGGTGTATTGGCACCGGAGGCCAAGTGTACCATGCGGGCCTGGCGGCGCTGCTGTAGCTCGCGCAGGAGGAAGTACCGCAACTGGATGTGCTTTGCTCTGCCCTCGAGTCTGGGCTCCTGACACAGGAGGATCATGGCCCTGTTGTCAGCGTACAGGACCGAGGCAGAGCTAGGCCGCTCACCCAAGTCGGTGAGCAAGAAGGTCTACCAGCGGAGCTCCTGTGCCGCCATGGCACCAGCATAGATCTCGGCCTCATAGCTAGACTGGGCAACAGACGACAAACAGGTGGACTTCCATGAGATGGCACCTGAACCTAGGCTAAAGCAGTAGCCCTGGGAGGACCTGAGTGTCTCAGCGCCGTCTGCCCACGACGCGTCTATGTGCCCGGTAAGGACCACTAGTCTGCGTCCTCCTAGCCCTAGCCCCATGCCCGATGTACTTGCTAGATAACGCAAAACCCTCTCAGCCACCGACCAGTGCTGTGGTCGGTGTCTCCCTGCGGCCACAAAGCGAGCCAGGATGCTGAGAGGGTATGCGAGATTTGGACGAGTGCAAGTTATCAGGTACATAAGGCAACCCACCACCTCCGCATAAGGACCACTATGCTCTAATGGCTCCTCAGGAATTGGAGCAGAGAGCATGTGGTCTACTGGCAGAGGTGTGGGCTGTGCAAAGGAGAACTTAAGACCGAACCGCTGAAGAACCTGACGCACCAAACGTAATTGTGTGATAGTGATGGTGCGCGCGGATCTGTCCTTGGAGATCTGCAGACCAAGGTAACGATGCAACTCTCCTAGGTCAGTGCAATTGTGTCTCCTCAGTAGCTTGGCCTTCACGGAGGCCAGTGCGTCTCTGTCTGCAGTAGCAAATACCAAGTCGTCTACGTACACAAGGATGTAGAACGGAGTCTGGCCACCATGAACGAAGAGCGAGGGGTCTACAGACGATGGGAAGAACTGCAGCTTAGATATCGTAGCACGCAGCTTGTCGTGTCACTCACGGGGTGCCTGCCGCAGGCCGTAGACTGGGCACCGGAGGGGCCACTTGGTGCTAGGATAGAAGGTACCGGTGAAGCCCTGTGGGCGGCGCAGGTAGACCTGCTCGTGTAGACTGCCCTGAAGAAACGCTGTGGAAAAGTCGAGGGAGTATAGCTTGTAGTCACGCTGTGCTTCCATGTATAGCAGTACCCGAAGAGTAGTCACCTTCGGGGTCGGGGCAAATGTCTGAAGGAAGTCGACACCCTCGCGCTGACTGAAACCTTTGGCCACGTAGTGCACCTTGAACACAGGCGACTCTCTAGGGGGGCACCTCACCTTGAAGAGCCACCGACCATCGATTGCGTTCACCCCAGGTAGGGAAACTGTGTCGACGAAGGTGCCGTTGGATCTCTAAGATGACATCTCCTGCTCATGGCAGCTATCCATTGGGAAGCCTAGGGTCCCGAGGTCACCTCAGCGTAAGTGCGGGGGGTCGGGATGTCAAGGGCGTCTGGGTCACCCTCAGGGAATAACAGTATGGAACAGAGATGGGAAGCGGCCTCAGATAGGAAAGCTGCCAATGGATAGTTGTCCTGCTCCTGCTTGTTCTCTAGTGCATCACTACTAGAGCTGTGCCGTAGTCATGGCGGCGGGTAGATGCAAAGCCAGCGACAGCAGCGACAAGAGCGTCAAGACTGGAGACAGGAAGAGACGGGTCAGTAACGAGGGAGGCAAGGATCCGAGGAACAAGAGGACGAGTGGCACAAAGGTAGTCAGACAGCGGAGGCGGAGGACGAGACGCGTGAGAACGAAGCAACATAGGGTGAAAGCTCAGGACATGAGAGACATGACGAGCACGAGACGGACGACAAGACAAGAAGTGGGACGGAGGCGTCGGGTCAAGAGACACAGGAGGAGTTATAGGAGGAGAACGAGTCGGGAAACGAGCCGGGAACGGGTCTGGCGGAGGAAAGACAGGGCCGTAGACAGGCAATGGAGGCAGCGGGGGGGGAGGTGCAGGCGGGTGGTTAGGGGAGGGAAGGCCGAACAGGCGAAGGGCGGACACCGGTGGCGACTGTTGCTGCTGCTGCTGCTGCTGCCGCTCCATGCTGACACCAGAACCTCCAGCTGCACCACGGCGACCTCCATAATGCTCCACTCCAGCTCCCCAGAACTAGAACCGTCCCCAGAATGAGAACCCTCCCCAGTACCAGTGCCACCCCCGAGACTGCTAGGACAAGCCACGACAAGAACCCCATGACTAGCACCCCCAAAACCAACACCCCCAGAACAAGAACCCTCTCTAGCACCGGTGCGACCCCCAAGAGCATCGGGATGAGCCATGACAACAACCCCAGGAGCAGCACCCTCCTCAATGCCCAAACCCCAAGAGCCTATGGACGGCTGCTGCTGCTGCTGCTGCTGCAGCTGCGGCGGTGGGTGGTGCTGCGGCTGGGACAATGGCTGCTGCTGCGGCAACGATGTCGGCTGCTATGACGACGGAGGAGGAGACACCAGAGGAGAAACAAGCAAGAAGAACTGCACCGCGGGGCCACCAGAATCAGCAGACTCTTCGACCGGGATAACCGACGGGAGGGGAGTGACGTGAGACATACCAGATGGAGCAGGATAGAGAGGGAGGGGAGCAGGGGCGACCGAAGGAGTGGGTACCACAAACAGGGGAGGGGAAACCGGGAGACCTTGGTGAGGAAAGCGGTGGCAGAAAAAGACAGAGTCGTCGAAAGTGACGTCAAGGGAGTGAAAGAAGTGGTGAGACGGCGGGTGGTAAAAGTGCCACTCAGACGAGTCAAGGGGAAACTTAGGAAGACACAGGGGACAATGCGGGCAGTGAGCTTGTCCGTGCCAGAGGCATAAACGTGAGCAAGGCAGCCCCAGACGTGGAACGCGGACGCGTCACCAAGTGACCCGGTCCAGGGAAGGGTCGGCGAAACCAGCGGCCGCTGGGAGTGCGGCCACAAGTTAAGCTGGTGAGCAGCATAGTGAACAGCGAACGGCCACAGAAAATGAGGTGCACTGGCATGGATCGTTAAGGTACTAGCCACCTCCATGACCGAACTGATGCATCGCTCAGCGACCCCATTGTGCTGCGGGGAGTCCGGCAGGGTGTACGACTGGGTGATGCCCTCCACACGACAGAACTGTCCAAGCCGACCGGAGGCGAACTCCCCACCATGGTCAGAGTGGAGACACAGCACAGGGAGACCACGGTGGACGCGTGCAGGTACGATCCATGGGATGAGAACACCAGGCACGTCGGCCTTCCACTCCAGGGGAAACACCGTGGTGTAGCGCGTATAGTCGTCAATAAGCGCGAGAAAGTAGCACTCGCGACGCGGCGCGGTGGCAGGGCGAAGCGAGGATGAGTGAGGAGCACGGCGCAGCCGGCCCTCGACGAAGGGCGTGCACAGCGGCGTAGGCAAGGGAGGGAAGGTAGGGAACGATGCAAAGAGACCTAGGACGAAACCATGCTGAGACATGTGACGCAGACGCGGGAGTGCGGGGTGACCTAGGCGGGGCGATAAGGTCAGCGGGGCGCTAAGGACAGCGGGGCGCAAGGCTAGGGCTAGGGCGGAATCTGGTGGGTGGACCTAACCTAAGCTGATACCATCTTAGAATAGCAGAATGATTAGAAAGAAGGGTACTCGGTGGTTTTGACCTAATGTGCTGTACTCTCTAAGGCATGCCCCTATCTAGGATATAGTAAATATACAAATATGTTTGACAGTTACCAGTGCCAAAGGTAATCCATTCCCCCGCGTCCTGGAACCTTGTCACTGCTGTAGTCACACGGAGAACGTTTTCACGGTAGCGAGCGGTCATGTCGGCAGTGTGCGCCGCGTGGTCTTGCGGAGGTGATGTGCGCTCGAGCCTCTAGCAGACGATGGGATCGTGAATGTCGAAGAGGACTTGGAGATTACAAGGAGCAAGGCCGAGGCTTCGAGCATAACCGACCAACATCTCGGTTGCCATTCTCGCCAACGGCCTGCAGCCTCGCGCGGATGCCGCGGGCGCTTGCGGCGGCGCCGTGGTTGCCCACCACGATTCGTGGACAGGATGCGCCAGAGGCTCGAGCTCCAGAGGGTCCGGCCCCGACCTCGGCGCAAGTATCCTCGTCGATGTCAGCCATTACGTAGCCGACGGCGGCGTCGATACTCTCAGGCGGGCCGAATGGCAGGTCGTCCATCGCCGCTTGGACGAACTGGACGTCCTTGTCTAGGATATGCGGCTCCAACGTACTGGCCGAGCCGAGGAGGGGTAGCAGTGGGTCCCAGACAGGCTCGAGCATCCGAGTGCGCCAGAAGCATTTCTTGATCGTACTCGTCTCGATGGTGAGTTTCGCGACCGAGATGAACTCGACGACTCGAGTCCATCTCGGGCTTGTAGGTCAGCAGCCGAACGATAGTCATGTCGGCAATCCATTTGCGTAGGACGTCTGGGAGCAGGTGGCCCTTGTACTTCGCCTTGAGGCACGACATAACCCCCTGGTCCAATGGCTGTATTAAGGGGGTTGTATTCGGCGGTAGGTAGAAAATGTGGAGGTGAGACAACGCTCAGGTGCGGAATCCCCAGATATATGCGCTCGACGCAAGCG